AAAATCAAGTACACGTGATAAGCAGTTATACATAAAGTTTTGCTAAAATTCGTTTGTTTCTGTACATGAAATCATGACAATATATACATATTATTACGACAGATACGATATGCGGAAACACATATGGACATGTTAACATAGTTTGCATAGTGCATAACATGAAACAGAAAAATACCAGCTTGCACATTAACATGATGTTTTATAACGGCAGATTATTGAAATATTCACATTGGTTCCACAATCTATTACACTAACATTTGTTTGCATTAGTTTATTGATCCAAAATACAGACAATGTAATATATCGGGCATAATACATTATAGTAACTCCTTATGGTAGCAACATGGCCTAGGGGAGGGGGGTAAAACATGTTAATTTTGTTTTGTGATTTAAACATTCACTGACAGTTACTATGCACGCTACTGCTTACTAAAATGCTTTACCAAATCGGTAACCAAGTGTCTTCTCAGGGCTACTCGTCCAGTTTTTTTGTCGAGACTGAGTCAGATTCGTTTACATTTAAAGATTCCGTATGTATAAGTCGGGATGTCGTTTAGTGTGTTATGTTTATGGTAGGCACGAGGCTTTAGACTACATCAACGCCCGGTCTTGCATTCCCCCCTGTTGACCTCTAAAGGGTGGTGTTTTACAATTACTTTACGAGAACGAGGCCAGGAATCAGCACCCCAAGTCAACCGAAATAAAAATAGAATGCCAGATTTAGTAGTAGATTTTTTGAGAATAATTAAGCTTAATTAATAATTAAGGCACTATTTTTTTAAATTGATTAATCAATTAGTTAATTTATTGTCTCTTAGTATTCTGTGGATTAATAATTACTTTTCTCCCTCCTCATATTTCCAACTAGTTTCCTATATTTTCTTCAGGTTGTAGCAATGTTTTCTCAACTAAATATATTCCCTACCTGTATAATAACGACTGCCAGACCCAGTGTATGGCTGTTTCGATGGCAACTAACAAACATATGCTTACAAATGTACAAAGGCACAAATAAGCCTATTGATGATGCTTTGTGCAATCACGTATAACGGGGTTACCTAACCTTTTAGAGAAAAACTACCTACTAAAAATATATTCTTTGTTTGTCGAAAATATCAGCAT